TTATTTATGTATATTCATTATCAGTTAAGTACACATTATTTATGTATATTCATTATCAGTTAAGTACACATTATTTATATATATTCATTATTAGTTAAGTACACATTATTTATGTATATTCATTTCTATATTTTGGCTTGTTAAATCTTTATTTTTTGTAGTGGCCCACTGGGAGGCTTGTTTTGAAATTTAAATGTATTTAAAATTTTGAAGATGATCCCATAAAATATTTAATTGTGTTACTGCTGCCACATGATTGTTTCAAAATTTTAAGGTGCTGAAATTTTACTGTCTATTGACTAGCTTATTGAAATTTTTGTTACTAGTACTTTTTTTTTTTACTTTTGCTGACAATACTCTGCTGTTAGGGTTTCTTGCCACAGTTATCTTACAAAAAGCATCTTGATGCTATTCTAACATTATCATTTGAGTTACTTGGGGTCAATTGTTCAAGGTCCCCCAGTGGGACAGCAGTAAGTTTACAGACATACAATGCTAAAATCCAGGGTTTGGTTCCCCACAATGGACACAGCAGATAGCCTAAACTTACAAGACTATTTTATACTTTTATACTTTCCCTCTTGTCGCATTACTTCATTCTATTGTAAGTTACTCCTGAGGATGACGTAGATCACGTCGAAACACGTACTTGTAGAGAGATATTTTAAAGTGGAAGCCGTACGGCTTCAATAAAGTTTTTATTGTGTAAATATATAACGTTGTTTTTAATTATTTATTATAATTTAAAAAACAAATAGATAAGTTTGTAACAAAACAAAAGTTGTACCACAATTACAGAATAATATATATTTATATAGTTTCAATGTACCCAGCTTATGCTTCAAGGAATATAACAGATAAAACTTATTCCTATCATAATGTTGTCGTAAAACATATGTGATTAATATCATGTAACTTTTGGAATGTCGGTACTTTAACATTTTACGCAACAGCATTGAATTTCTTTTACTGTTGCACACAAATGTCATAAACCCTGAGATAAACTAGTATGATCACCATATGTTGTCTTATGTAAAGGGTAGTGCAAGTGATTTTGATGCTATGATTCTTTATCTGTGGTTAAATTTCTGAGATTAAAACTTATCACCTTGCATGTTTTACATGGAAAGCACTGTAATTGACCTTGAATGTATGATTAAACCCTTGAGATAAACATTTATTGTTACCATGCATTATTTTAGACCGAGAGTACGGAATTTAATATCTAATGCTATTCTTTGTTATGCATGGCTAAACCCTTGAGATGAATGTTTATCGTCATCATGCGTTATTTTAGACCGAGAGTACGGAATTTAATATCTAATGCTATTCTTTGTTATGCATGGCTAAACCCTTGAGATGAACATTTATCGTCATCATGCGTTATTTTAGACCGAGAGTACGGAATTTAATATCTAATGCTATTCTTTGTTATGCATGGCTAAACCCTTGAGATGAATGTTTATCTTCACCAACTAGACAAGTGTGTTAGTGGAATGAATGAAATCTGTGTATCAAACACTGTTAGTCACATGAAAGCTAGAAAACTATTCAAAATTTTTGTAGTTTGTGAAAGAACTTGTTTTATTTTTGACTCTGAAGGCTCCTCTGTTGTGTTGGAGAAGCAGAGAAGAAGCTAAAAATGTTTTTCTTTTGTAACCAGAAGGAAAAAAAGTGACGAATATTTGTGTAGCTGGTAAAGCTGTGTATTTTGATAGATATTTTGTGTTCACAACAAGTTTTGATTTGGTGATTATTGAACTAAAAATAAAATATTAAAAAAAAGATGTGTGTGTTTGAAAAAATTTAAGATGTTCATCCCAACAGTGTTTTTTTTTTACAGATCACTGTTATGGATCGTGGCCAGAAGAAGACCTGTTTGCAAGTGGAGTATGAACCAAGCTGCGTTAGTGTTCATCCTGTGGAAACTGATGTGGCCGTGGGGGGTCATAAAGTACTGTGCTCTCTTATGACTTATTTTTATGCATTGTTATTGGTTTTTTTTTTTGTTAATAATTTTGAAACCAGGTTACATCTTTTTTCAATCTTTGATGTATAACAATGACCCAAAATGAGCGTTACTTTTTAACCAGTCAAGGAAACCTGATTTAAAAAATGATAGAAAACTTATTTTAGGAATAATAGTTATATTGATGAAACTTTGTAGAATGGACATCAACTGCGTGTTGTAGATACACAAGTGTAGAGGATGATGAATGTCATCCTCTACAACAGGCAGTTGCCGTTCATTCTACAAAGTTTTATCATGAATACTCTGCCTAAACATTTTATCAAAGGAAACTTACATTGTCAGATTTGACAGGCTTCAGGAAAACAGTCCAGGAGCTAAAATACTTTTTTTTTTCTAATACTGCACACAGAGGTTGATTTTAGAGGTGGTGTGGAAAACTGATGGATCCCTAGAAAATTGTTCAAAAATAACATTCTGAGCAGGGCTGCATTGGCCGTGGCGCAGTTGCAACAGAACCCCAAGACTGTCAGTTTAGCTCTCCCTTTTTTTCGATAAATCTTCATATTTTATCTGTTATTTGTTCTATTCTTACTCACTACAGACTAGATCAATGTAAACGACCTTGTAACCACCATAAAAAATACAAAATAAATCAAAATTATCATTTTTTTCTTTCTAGAACTACTTAAAATTGTAGCAGGAAACAACATTTCTTTACACTAAATAGTTTACAGCTTCTTAACCTTATACAACTATTCATAATTAAATTTTGTTTTATTGCCTTTTGTACCGTGATTTTTAAAATTCCCACCATAAGAAGTGTCAAAATTTGTGGTAACATGAAGCAAATGTTACACTAACCAAGTTACATAAAGCTTGTGCTACTCATGAGCTGTTAGTCCTAGCAAGGAAAAAACGATTTTAGGGTAATTTGTTGATGTGCTTTTGTAATGTTATACAATAACAATATTGTTTTTTTATGTGCCTAATTCATTCTTACTTGCCATGTTGTACAAGTAAATAATAATTATTATAATCATTTAATTTTAATATATTATCTTTAAAAGTTAGATGCATCATATTCTAATTTACTTCGAATAATTAGCTCATATTCTGTAATTAACTTAATATGTATTAATTATAATTAACTTCAAATTTGATTGTACCCTATTCAAGGGGCCTCAAAAAAATAAGTGTGAAAGGGCCTCAAATTACCTTAATGCAGGCTTGACTCTGAGAATATTTCTAAAGGATGTTTTGAAAATAACTTCTAACTTTCTATGGTGCATTGCATGTTGGTGTTTTTCTAGCTTGTACAACATTTGATGTAGTCTGTGCATTTACCAGTATTACATTATTCAGCTTAGTCTATGAAAAATAAAGCACTGTTTTCTAACACATTTTTATATTAGTTAATAACTGCACAATTTTGTTTTAACACTATAAAAAGTGGTCAGTATAGTCTTAATTTTTTAGGCTCTGAAACAGATGCACCACTATGTGTCAGAGTGGAATACTTATAATGTCAGTTCGGTTAAGCTTTACAATAACTATTATATTGTTATAGAAAGATATCTTGGTGAAACACTAATAGGGACAAATCCTCACAAGAAAAGATGTTTCTACTTCAGTAGATACTATTAATTATCAATGTTAATAATTTACCCTCAAAAGAATTTAAAAAAAAATACAGATAGGACTTGGAGGAAGCTTCTTTTTTATCTTTGTTTCTTCACTTTGTGATACTTTCTAAATAACAATCAAGAAGGAGATTTTAAGCAAGATATCTTAACTTATTTCTCCTTTGGTACAGGATCATAAAGTCCATATTTACCTGCTGAATGGATATACGCTGAGTCTTAAAACCACACTCGACGAGCATCGTGGAGCCATCACAGATGTGGCCTACTCTCCGGATGGTTCTTATCTTGCAGCCTGTGATGGTAACCGAAAGGTCATTCTGTACCGTGCCTTAACTTATGAGGTGAGCAGTGGATGTAAAGTTTATTTCTTCATGAGCTGTGAAAATGAATCATTCATGAAAAAAAGCAAAGAAAACACGTGCCACATGTCAAAAGCAAGAAAAACTAAAGGGGTAGTATATATAACTGATCCTGAACACATCAGTATATAATAGATTAGGGTTAACCTTTCTGTGTTAGTCTTACCATTATATCTTAGTTTGTTTATGGTCAGTATAACCACTGGATTCTTGCTTGATTAATACTTCCTATGTTTATAATTGCTCTGACCTCTACAGTATGGTCTAGTACATACCTCGCTTGTTACTAGTCCAAACTGTAGGTTGCAATCCAGCTTAGACTTTTGGTGTGACTAGTCTGTTTACTAGATTGTAATTTATCTTATACCTATCTTCTTACTAGTCTCACTGTTATATTGTAGTCTAATTAAAACCTGTGTTATGACCAGTCTGTTTCCTAGATTTTAGTATATCTTATACCTATCTTCTTACTAGTCTCACTGTTATATTGTAGTCTAATTGAAACCTGTGGTATGACCAGTCTGTTTCCTAGATTTTAGTATATCTTATACCTGTATTTCTACCAATCTCACTATTATATTGTAGTCTAATTGAAACTTTTGATGTCTGTTCACTAGGTCATAGTCTTCATATATTTCAAGGGCTGATATGTGAATTAAAAACTTGTTTAAAACACATAACAAGTAACGTTTCAACCTCTTTACCTGATGATGATCTAAGGTGGTGGAAACATTGTTACTTGTTTTGTGTTTTATTGTAGTCTCACTATTATATTGTAGTCTAATTGAAACTTTTGATGTCTGTTCACTAGGTCATAGTCTTCATATATTTCAAGGGCTGATATGTGAATTAAAAACTTGTTTAAAACACATAACAAGTAACGTTTCAACCTCTTTACCTGATGATGATCTAAGGTGGTCGAAACATTGTTACTTGTTTTGTGTTTGAAATAAATGTTTTTAATATCCCTATCAGCAGTCTCTACTATATATAAGTTGTAGTCTATCTTATACCTATCTTGTTACCAGCCTTACTGTTATAGCATAGTGAAAATTTTGGTGTCACTAGTATAATTGTTAAATTGTTGTTCAGTTGATAACTCCTTTGTTGTCTCAATCTGTCACCAGTATAATTGTTAAATTGTTGTCAAGTTGATAACTCCTTTGTTGTCTCAGTCTGTCACCAGTATAATTGTTAAATTGTTGTCAAGTTGATAACTCCTTTATTTTCTCAATCTGTCACCTTTATAATTGTTAAATTGTTGTCAAGTTGATAACTCCTTTATTGTCTCAATCTGTCACCTTTATAATTGTTAAATTGTTGTCAAGTTGATAACTCCTTTGTTGTCTCAGTCTGTCACCAGTATAATTGTTAAATTGTTGTCAAGTTGATAACTCCTTTGTTGTCTCAGTCTCACTTAAATATTATAGTTTAGTTTATACTTTTTTAGCTATCAGTTGCATAAGTTGTTTTGGCCTTTTTTAATCTCTTTTTTTTTGTTGTTGTTGTGATGACAACTCTAAACATTAATTTATTGTATAGTTTATACCTTCTTTATTATCAGTCTGACTGAAAGATTATAATGTAGCTTAAAAGTTTTGTTGGGGATCTTAGCTTTATATGGTGAAAGGTGTGGGGAATGATAGTCATTATGACTGTCCACGTCTATGTAGTTATAAATAAGTCTACTAGATAAATAGAAATATTTGTGTTGGAAATGTTGTTTGTTTGAACTCCGGTATTGAGCGAAAGGACTAGTTAGCATTGAAGAGTGGGACATAAAGCGTACATTAAGATTGTATAATGTTTTTCCTACTGGAAACCTGTAGTATATGACCAGTAAAAAGAGTAATAATAACAACATTGGAAAAATTATAATCATTCTTATTGTGATATAATGTCACACAAACTACAAATCTATAGATCCCACTCCACCAGCATAAGGCGTAACATACCAAGATATTTGATATAATAGAAATGTATTTTTCTTAGATTTAAATTTTACAATATGCTTTGTATTGATGATAATTATGTTATTTTTTGTATTCATTTACTGTGTGAGTGTGTGTATGTATGTAGTGTTTTATATTTTCCTCAGTTAGTTGCTAATGAGTGTTGTACGTGATTTTTTGTCGTAGCTTGCTCACAATTTGGATTGGTGTTTTCATACTGCTCGAGTCAACTCCATATCCTGGACCCCAGACTCTCAACATTTAGCCACTGGAAGTCTTGATACTGGTATCATCATTTGGAGTGTTGAACAACCAAACAAGCATATAAACATTAAAAGTAAGTAAGGTAACAGTTAAGACAGAAATAAAGAAATTGTATGCTTTCTCTGTTAGTGATTTAGTATATTTAGTGTTGTTTCTTGTTAATATTGATGCTTGCCATTGTTATTAATTCTGTGTCTTCTAATCATTAGTGTTGCTTCTTGTTATTAGTACTGTTTGTCATTGTTGTTAATTCTGTGTCTTCTAATCATTAGTGTTGCTTCTTGTTATTAGCTACTGTTTGTCATTGATGTTAATTCTGAGTCTTCTAATCATTAGTGTTGCTTCTTGTTATTAGTACTGTTTGTCATTGTTATTAATTCTATGTCTTTTAATCATTAGTGTTGCTTCTTGTTATTAGTACTGTTTGTCATTGTTATTAATTCTGTGTCTTTTAATCATTAGTGTTGCTTCTTGTTATTACAATTAATAATGCTTGTTATTGTTATTAATTCTGTCTTTTCATTGTTAGTGCTGTTTCTCGTTATTAGTAGCAATGATGCTTGGTATTGTTATTAATTCTTTGTTAGTGCTATTTTCTCATTGTTATTAGTAGCAATGATGCTTGTTATTGTTATTAATTCTGTCTTTTCTTTGTTAGTGCTGTTTCTCATTGTTATTAGTAGCAATGATGCTTGTTATTGTTATTAATTCTGTCTTTTCATTGTTAGTGCTGTTTCTCATTGTTATTAGTAGCAATGATGCTTGTTATTGTTATTACTGTTTCAACTAACAGTTTTATTTTGTTTGATATTAAAGATATAATTTGAAAGTTACTATTTGCTCTCTGTGAACATAACATAGAAATGTTGCAGACAAAAGTATTGGTACCTTACACTCAATAGGAGATAATTCAAGAACACATCTGAAATACTTGCAGTGAGTGAACATTAGCCCATAATTGATGTCACAAAGACTAAATACAGTTGCTGATAGTTTAAGAAACAATCTTTATGAAAAAAAAAAATTAATTTCAAATACTTGTTCATGACAAAGGTATTGGTATTTTTAATTAAAAGATTGCAAAATCTCAATAGAATTCATAATAAAATTAATTAATGAAAACAACTGCATGGTAATTAAACTGCATTAGAAAGCCAACAGTCAGAAAAGAGGTAATTATTTCAAACATCTGTTGAAGGAGAACTTTATGGTAACAAAACAGATGGTGGTTAAGATGAAAGAATTGGATTCATGCTTGAGAAAAGCAGTTGTAGTAGAATACAACAAAGGGAATGACTACAGAGCAGTGTCAGAGAAACATGGAGTATGAAAATCCACAATCAGAGCAATAATTAAGAAGTACCATAGAACAAATTCAATAAGAGGTTTGAAAGAAGTGGATGTCCAAAGAAAATTACAAGAAAAAAGAACAGCTTAGAAGCATTAGGCATAATAGTGTACAAAAGAACTTTATAAAGACACCAGAACATATAAAAGTTGTATGCATGTATACCTCACTGCAAACCACTTCTTAAAAAAAATTAAAAAATACACTATCTATAATTTATCAAGAAATATTAAAAGGAATCTGAAGCATTCTTCCACATTATGTTTGGAGAGAAAAAATTAAGAACATTTTATACTTACAGTAAAACATAGAGGTTGTTCGATCATGATATGAGATGTTGTAGCAATGCAATAATTGGAGATAATACATGTGATTGAAGAATGAATGAATGCAGTCATATATCAAAAATGTTACAAAATACAATGATACTGATGGGCAGAAGATGTATTTTCCAACACAACAATGATCCAAAGTTTATGTCTAAGTTAACCCTGAAATTCTTGAAGATATTGATGATAAAGGTCCTGGAATGACCTTTGAAATCACCAGATCTCAATCCAACAGAAAAGCTTTGACCTTATGAGGAAACGTTGTAGCCAAACATTTTGTGTCCAGTCTGTCTGAGCTGGAGGAAATATGCAAGAAAGAAGGCTGAGATTTTTCCAACAAGGTTTATCACATTAGTTGAGAACTGTGATTAAGATCTGAAAGCTGTAATAAAAGTGAAAGGAGGACACATGCATGAATAGATATTCCCCCTTGTGGGAGGTTTGGGGGTTGTTCCCCCTTCAAATAAACAGGGGGATAACTGAGATTATACAAAAGTTGTTTATTTCTTTAACTTTTTACGTTTTTCTAATTGTTGTTGTCTGAGCTACAGTTTAAAAACTTTCATTGGGAAACAAACCCCGTGCAAGTGTTTACCTATAAACATTTACTACTTTATAATAAATTCTTCTAATTACTTTTCATATTTGTAAACTTTGTTTCTGCTGACACTTCCATAATAACTTTTCCCTGTTTTATTTGATTAATACTGGTGTATGAATGATGATTTTATTTTATTTTCCTTGGCAGAGGCGCATCCACAGAGCCAAATAACAAGAGTTGCCTTCTTAGACAACAACACTTTGGTGTCAACAGGACAGGACAGTAACATCAAGATATGGGAAATTACTTACTCGTGATTTGTTACGTTGGATGGTAGCCTTGCAGAAGCGGCTCTTGTCTGTTCCGATATTTCTTTCTTTTTGATCACCTTAAGGCAAATCCTCAAGGATCATATGTTTTCATTGTAGATTGATGGCTTATGAGATTTTTGTGACTGTTTCTTTTTATTTATAATTGATTAATATTGAACTAACCACGTATAAAAAATATACAGTGGACCTTGCAATCGTTCAGTATAAACCATTCACAGTTTCAAAACTGAGAACTATGTTTGAAAGCTTCCATGATTTTGAAATAACAATGCTAGTGAAAATGATGTTGAAGTAACAATGTCAGTGAAAATGATGTGGAAATAACAGTGACAGCGAAACTGTTGTTGCTATAACGATGCTAGTAAAAATGATACTGAAAATTATGTTTAGTATTTAAGGTGAGATCGATAAAGTTTGTCTCAACAAGTAATTTTGAACAGATTTCCAAATCAGGCATTACTAAATATAGTGAATAAATACAGCTTTGGTTGATCCTTTTTGTAACTTTAGTAATTCCTTGGCTATTGCATACAAAAACCATACATATACCAGTTTATAACTTTGTGCAAGTTATGAAATATAAACCAATAGGTATACTGTTACAATGCTATACAGGTTCATTAATGTCATGAACATGTTCACTGAATAATTCATTTTAGTTTTGTTTATCATTCAAGCTTATGAATTTTTAGCAGATTAGCAGTTTTCTTAATGCATACAACTGGAAAATAACTTAGCAAAATATATTAAAAGACTAGCTATAGAACTTCTGTCACCTGTGATGTCCAGCTACAGAATGTCTGGCATCCATGATGTCAAGCTACAAAACTTATGGTACCCATGATGTCTAGCTACAGAGCTTCTGGAACCCATGATATCTAGTTACAGAATGTCTGGCATCCATGATATATAGCTACATAACTTCTAGCTCCCATGATGTCTAGCTACAGAACTTCCATGTCCAGCTACAGAATGTCTGGCATCCTTGATATCTAGCTACAAAACTCCTGGTACCCAGAATGTCTAACTACAGAATGTCTGGTACCCGTGAAGTCTGGCTACAAAATATATGGCATGAAAGATGTTTAGCTACAGAACTTCTAGCACCCATGTTGTCCATCTACAGAGCTTCTGGAACCCATGATATCTAGCTATAGAACTTTAGTACCTATGATGTCTAGCTACAGAAGTTCTGGCACCATAATATATAGATGTATTGCCTCTGAAACTATCTGCCATGTGTTTGATTAAAGGAAAAAGAATTTCCTCTCTTAAAGTATTTATTATAGACTATTTTCAGTATATTTTGTTTTATAAAGAACAAGACATATTTAAACATTAACATTTGTTGCATTTCCAGATAGAGATCCCTCTTGACTATTTTGCTGGCTATGGGGCCCATAGACAGCTTTTGCCACTGACTCTTTGTGTTTGGGGATTTCCAGCTGTTATAATATGGCACACTTTGCTTACCATGGCTGTGGTAAATTTTGTAGCAGATCTCTTTCATAGTGGTCCTGATGCCCCAATTTGATTCATATTCCTTTGTTTTCCAGTGATATTAAGTACAAGGGATATTCCTCATCTTGGAAATTCCTAATTCTTGATTTGAGCACATCTTTAACCTGAGCATATGAATATTTTTTTTCTGAAGGAGCTGTTACATACCTCTTCTAAAAGCAATCATTTTTCGATGGTGTTACACTACCTACAAACGGGCAAACAATGTCAAAATGTAGTCCTGATAAATGTTCCACTGTGATCTTATATTGGCTGTAGTTGTCTTGTGACTTGCTGTTTTAGCATTTTTAAAATTCCTGTAACAAACCTACCTAGTTCTCTGTATAAGTTCATTTGTTGAGCATAGTTTGAGCTTCTGTGTAACTCAACTGTGTTTAATAAAATGATTATGAGTACCATGATTAGTACTGTTCTTAAGGGCAATAAAATATTTTTTGCAGCAATATTTCAGTGTTGATGGGAGTGTTTACGGTATTGACATAAAATAATCTTATTATACATGTTGCTTGTTGTGTGTAAACATTTGGTTGATGTTTTTCTTAATATCAAATTGACTTGTAGATTTTCGTGCAGTTGCAAAAGTGTTAAGTTTTCAAGGGAAACATGCTAACATGTTTAGACTGTCTGCTGAAAAAAAAAAGGTGATTTCAACTCAACATATTACTTGTTGGAGACATTTAATTTTCGTGGCATGTCATTATTTTGAAGGACTTTCATGCTGATTTATTGAACACCCTGACACATGGTTGGAATGTCTATGGAAGCAGAGTGTAATTTTGTCTCCAGCTGCTCCATGTTGAGGAGGAATAATGCTCATTATCATTATTATTTCAAGTTGATATTTACCGTCTCTGCCTCTGTTGATGAAACGTCAACTAGTAAACATGCCTAAAATGTTTTTTTTTTGTAAAAGGTTGAGAACAGAACAGAAAAAAATATTTAAGAATATGAATGATTGTCTAAGTAGAAGGTTGGTAAGCAATTATGTAATTCTTAAGTATTTCATCATGCTGCCCCTCCAGTGACTCAGTAGTAAGCCTGAAAGCTTATAATGCTAAAAATCAGGTTTTGATACCCCTAGTGGGTAGAACACAGATAGTCCATTTTGAAGCTTTGTGCTTAACAACAAACAAACAAATAAAATGCTTCATATTGTTGTGCTAAAAACATGCTTTTCCTTTCTCAAACTTTACTGTATTTGATTGTTTCTTTCTTTAAAAATGCCTTTTTTCTTCAAAAGATAATGTAATAGTAAAAATAATTCACATGCCATGAACTTAACATATTAAACCTTACTAAACATTCTTGTTGTACTGGATCTAAGTTATGTAAAACTTCTGTTCTCTGGCACTCTTCGTATTAATTACTCTTTATTTGGTTGACAGTATTATTAACCTGAGAATGTTTGCTGTATTGGAAATCTAATAACTGAGGAATGTGACAAATTTGTACTTAGTTTTGGTATGAGGCAAGCTTTCAATTCTTCCACTTTTCATGGCTGTAATCTCGTCTTTTCTTTTTATCGCATTAGTAAAACTGTTTTTATAATCCTCTGGTTCAGTATCTTCTTTCAGATACAAAATCTTCTTAGTTTTGACAATTTTTTTTTCATTAAGTTGCAAGTGTCCTTTTGAGTAATCTGTTTCTGTAAACTAGGTCATTAATATTTTCTTTGCTATTTATATTTGGTAATTTCAGTCTGTTTGATAGAATATTATGTGAGAGTTCAATGACATAATTATCGGTACACTATTATGATTAATAAGTTGTGCATTGAGATCACATTTATATATTAATACAAGTACAGTGTTGTTTTTGTAAAGATTGAATTTCCTTGTCCTCTTTGCTACATTCCTTGGAAGAGATAATTATGGTGAATGTGTGATGAACCTTGGTAATTACCATTCATTTTGACAAATCAATGTAAGTACGTGTTTTAAAGATTGACACCTGATCCTATGTTACTATTACAGTTCATTCAGGAAGTGTATTTAGTAACCACAAAGTTTCTTGTGGTCAGTATTGGCCATAATGTGAAAACAGTTGCTCATGCAGTAATAATAAACTGAACCAACTTTCAGTTGATTGTTAGAAGTGTAATTTACATACGGAAGCATCATATCATGGTAGCCATGTAAAAGTTGAAAGAAATGACTCAAATCGATGTAAGGGTTGTTTAGTCAAAACGTTAATCATACAGCTTTTTTCTATATTGCGATTTTATTCTCTTCTTTGCATTTTTTAGATTCTTATAAAGTTGTAACTGCATTTATTTATTTTTGTATTATCATGGTAGCCAAATGTGTTCCTGGTATATTTTACGAGCCTGATCAGTTCGTGAGACTGATTTAATCTTTGTCTTTGTAAACTAACGTAACTAGATTTTACCAGATTTATTGGACCTATAGTTTAGACAAGACTTTCATACAGTTTTGTATACTGGATTTGTTGCAGTTTCCTATCATTTTTGCAGTACAGGAGGAAGATGTCCAACATTGGGTGGGCCAATACTGGCCAGATGCGATGTGTCTTGTAGCACATATACCTACTGCCACAAGTAGTCACATTGAAATTATAGATTTTATATAGCTCCAGAGGCACCACATGATTAGCCCTTTTTCTCTATCCCTCTCTTAAACCAAATGTTATTGGGAGGTCAAAAGAGATATTGGCACCTCAAGAAATATTGAATGGGTCAGACCTCTTCTCCCCACCCCCCCGTCACACTTTGTTCTTACTCCACAGGTCTGGTATGGTTAGTTATTATGTAAATTCCGACAAATTATATGTTTTCTTTATTGTGGCCTGTTAAGTGTATCTAAGTTAAAGGCTAGCATGATTTTAAGATGTTTATACAGGCATTATTTGTGTTCTTGTTTGAAGGAGTGTAAAGAAAAGTGTCCTTGAACTAGTTAAATAACTATTTGTACATTGAGCCCAAATAAAGGATTTCCAGCTTCTAACTATTTGCAGTAGTCTAGAATTGAATAATAATTGTACTTTGAGCCCAAATAAAGGATATCCAGCTTCTAACTATTTGTAATAGTCTAAATTGAATAATGATATAATTGTTTGTATTTTGAGCCCAAATAAAGAATTTCTTACTTCTGAATACTGATATTTGCAATAGTCTACAATCTAATGAAACTTCCAAGATAACTCATCTCTTCACATAGTTCAGATATCTTCCTCACGCGTCTGTCAAAGAACTTTGCATGCAACTAACCTTAAGGCAACTGTCATCCAATTTCACGTGAAATGTGCTACTGTATGATGTCGTAATCATGCGACAAAGCCCTCCACCAATAGGAGGGCGACACATCTCTATGAACAATAATTCCTCCTGTGCACTTGCACCCTTGGAAACTTCATTCTTTTCCTTGGCATTGTGTTGATCAGACATGTTTAAATTTTATCTTCAGAGTTCAATTTATCGAGACTTGCACCGTTAACGAAACTTTGATTTTTGTTTTCTTTGGCATTTGTTTCAAAAGCTGTATTTATTTTTCGTGAATTCACAAATGATTTTGATTTCTACTTGATTCTAAGTGAATGACGTTATTTTCACTTGGGCCTTATTTTTAATATGTCATTTGGAGCCTTGTTAACTGTCAGGGTTTTTAAGCTATTGTTCAATGTGTTGTACATTACCTCATGTTTAATAAGCCTCCTACTCCCGTTGGCCGTATTTCTTTTTCCTCAATCAGGAATGGTTTACTGGATTCTGACTTTCGCCTGATTAGTTTTGGGTAGTACCTTAACATTCATTAAACATCTTTAACCTTTCATTCTGTTTCTGGAATTCATACTCAGGTTTGTTCCTTTCCTTACTTTCTGTTCCATGTTGTTTACCTTATTTTTTCTCCTTGCTTGCTCTTATAATTTTAGTTTTCTTTCTCTAATAGTTCCTTTATCACTCACTCTCAAATGCATCATTTCCCTTATGTTTATGACTCCTTCTGTAATGATTTGTACACTTTCTTCCTTTCTCAATTCTCTGTCATTGTTATCTATTTGGCCAGCTTGGGATCAGACCCCTTCTACTTTCCTTTTCGTTTCCCATTTTTGTCTTTTTTTCTCTGTAACTCCATGTATTCACCCTCCTAGTTTTGTCTGAGGCACTTCTTTATGCTTCAGATGGGCTTCTGTAGATGTTCATTCCTTTTTCTATCTTGCCTGTTCCATTTCTTCTGCTCTATCCCTTCGTACTTTGTTTGCTTGTTGTTGGGACTCATTGGGTTGGGTCATGCTCCTTATTGCCATTCTTCCTTCTTCTTGTATTCGTCTTCTGTCTGACTCCCTTTCTTTGCCTTGATGTCTTCTGTGGTATTCATTTCTCCTTAGTGTCCTGAACTGTTATATGGCTTCTGTCCTGATTAGCTCCCCAAGTTTTTACCGTCTCGACCTTACCCTTTACTCTTATTCTTTGTCTTGACTTGTCTACTCCTTACCTTCACACTGTGGATTCCAGGTCTTCTTCTGTTTCTCATTTTCCCTCTCTCAGATGTCTAGTTCATCCTTCTTATTGTCAGTGACTTTCACACACTCATGCTTCTGTGCATACCCATCTTTTCTGCTGTCAGTCTCAATTTCTGCAATCAGTCACTTTTCATTTCCCTTCCTTGATTTATTTCTTTTCTCTTTCCATTTCACCTCCCTCTGATCCTATCTATAGTCCTTTTCTCTCAGTCTGTGGTTGACCATGGTCGATGTATCAAACACCTTTTTATACATTTTGACCAGTCCACCATTTCCTCATCTTTCCTTGTATTGCCCTTTGACTTAGCATTGGCTCCTTTTGCATTCATTGGCATCGTTAGGGCCTCTGTTTGCCATATTCACATCCCAGGGTTGAAGTTCATTTTCATAAACTTTTTCTGTTTGCCCATTCTTGGATGTTCTTGCCTGACTAGCTTCATTTCCTGTGGCTAGTCATTTGGGGGGGGGGGGTAATTATCCAAGGATTTAAGTCCATTCTCATACCCACTCCTTGGTTGGTTATTTTAGGCATCTTTCTTCTCCTCGTGTCTCAACCTTTTCCCTCTTCGCCTGCACACTATGACATATCTTGTCACCAGGCTTTACATTTCCTACTCTTTTGTAGCACACATTAGTGGGTTTCCTCTTGTGGACCTTTCACATACACGGTTTTCTTTCTTTGGGTCCATTGTCCTCTCTTGTGAACCTCTCCTCGAGGAACTGTTATGGTGATTGAACTGTGCTCATACTACTTCTCAAACTAGATCTCTTCCTTCTTCGATGCTTCTTTCTGTGATTGAGATGCATTTCTGCTGAAGGCAGGACTTCTGATGTTTGGATGGTGGGCAAGTGTTCACTCCAAATTAATGGGCTCGACCTTCTCTCTCTATTTATAGGGCATATTCCAATCTTTGTCCCTCCTGGAAAATCACTAAGTCTCTTCTACGGTAGTTTCTTGCACCAATCATCCATGAGACATCTTTTCCAGGACCTTTTGCTTTTAGACATAAGCCATGCATCTCTGGGCCAATTCACATCAGGCTGATTTTCTTACTCATCATTTGCTGGTGGCTTAATACATGGTTGCTTATCACTTCTCTCGGCCAGTCTGCATTCTACCTGAAGCATTATCTACACCCCCATGTTTTGTGGGGTTTGTTCTGTGTTAAACACACCCCTCTCGGATGCATTTGCTACTCCTGGCTTCCTCTCATGTGGTTTTTCTTCCTCACCCTTCGACTCTGGCTGCGAATTATCTCAGTCAGGCCTTGTCTCACTTCTTTCTATATGCCTATACCTTTATTCGTCTTCTCCCCCTGGTCCTTGGCTTAATACACTACTATCCTTCTTGGGCCCTAGTTCGTGGCACCTCTTTGACCAGCTCAGTCTTGGTCCACTTGACATTTGATCCCCTTCTTCTCATGCATTCCTTCTGCATCAAAGAATATTCCACTCCATCCTACCATACGGAATTTTGCTCGATTTGTCACCTATCGGGATGGGCATTCTGATTAAGTGGCATTCTTTTGTCACTTTCTTTTTGCCATTCCACTGTCTTTGTCCATCAATGGTTGTGGCAGGTTTTTTGTTATTGGTCCTTTCACCACTCCTTTTCTCCTGGCCATATTGTGAACCACCTTTATGCCTTTTTTACTTAACTACTTATTGATATCTTGTCAGTTTCTGCCTTAACTGGTTGTCAGGAAGCCTTATCTATGGCATTTTGCATTTCCTGGTACCACCTTCCCCTGTCCTCTCCACCTGTTTTTCCCCATCCTCCTCGCCCAATTCCCATGCATATCTAGGACCTACCTATTGTGTCATATTTCTCTTCTAATTTGTTTCCTCCTCTTTCATGTCTGGGATTACCATCATTCAGATGACCATCCTATAGATCATTCTTGTACCCCCTGCAACCACACTTCTATACTCCTTTCCCTGGACTGATATTTACTTTCTCAGCTGGTTTACCACCTTTTCTTCTATCTCCTTTCCTTCTGCCTATCACCTATTGTACCATTCAGACCCGCTTCAGCTCCTGTGTTCTGTTTGGTGTGCCTTTTTATGGACCTCTCCCTTTTGAGGTTCCTATATTCATCTGTCCCTACTTTGGAATATCTTTTATCTTCTGATGGTTATCAGCTTCCATACATTGCCATTCTTCAATATCCCTACCATTTTTGAGAAGAATATATACTATTTCTCGTTCAAGACCCATTTTTCATTACACAGGATCTCACCAGTTGGCTGGTTGTGCCTCCCAGGATATACTTACCCCAAATTCGCAATGAGCCAGGATAACAGAAAGAACTCGTACCATCCATCCTGGCTCTTCCTGTGCCCACTGTGAGATGAGGTGTTCCACAAGACCACTTGAGGTATACTCGTGGAATATATATATATACTTGTCAAATTCAGACTATCAAGGAAAATGCCAGCACCAGGGGAGTGTTCTGCCCACTTATCTGGTTCGTGCTTGCTGGCTTTGCATTTACCCATTGTACTGTTTCCAATAAAAGACTGATGGGAACCTGGGCACTTTCTCTGAGCCTCCTCACCGCGAATTCTCCTCCTTTTTTCATCGAGTGGAGCACGGGAAACCATTGCTACTTACCAGTTCCTAACTACTGGGGTGGTGGACCACGGAGAACACTCATTTATTGGACTCGTATACTGGGGTGATATACAATTGAGTATCAATACGGTGGGAAATGGGGCAGTGGTGACAATGTCTGTGTAGTGCAAGTCACTCCTCATATACGCAATGCATCCATTTGTGCCCTCCTCCTGCAGCCTAAGTCTGTTCAGCCAGTGGAGTTTAGTTGAGCGCACAATATATGTAACCACACAACATATTTAATGTGCTCTGCTCCTGTCTGTTCAATTGAATTGAAACGTGCCCATGATATGCAAATCATCAAGGCAAGATTAGTGTGATTGGGGCACACTCGTGGGAGACCGCATCTCGAGTAAACTCTTCGCCTGTAAAGGAAGAGAGAAAGAGATAAATGAAACCCATGTGTTACAGGGACAGGTGGAATGGGAACATGACCATCCAAGTACACGTACACAAGTAGTCAGACAGCCAATATGTATAGTGTGGTAGGTTCGGTTAGATTTAACCTTGTGTACACACTCAACTCTACTTTCAGACTTAACGAGACAGACTACAGCTGTAGAAGGAGGGCGGGTGTCACACTGCATTTGCTTCCTTTGGGTGTTTTATGAAGGAAGCTCATCTAAGTAACATTTGCACTGACCCCCTCCACCAATTCAATGTGAGATTCCAGCTAAACTGTGTGAGGGGGCGGGTTATCATCTCGGAAATTAAGATTTTCCTTACCTGGAAATGCACCCATTCTTCCCACTTCTGGTTCTTTTGTTTTCCTTGCCTTGTCAAAAAATGAAGTTACCAAGAGTGCAAGTGCATAGACGGAGTTATTGCACATGGAGGTGTGTTGTCCTCCTATTGGTGGAGGGCTTTTGTCGTATGATTACGCGTGAAATTAGGTGGGAGT